CCTGATCCTTGAAAACCGAGAATATTTATTCTCCCCCTTTCTTGGTGCCTCCGTGGGCCATGACAGTGTCATGGTAACCCCCCCTTAAAGTTTTGTCATTCCTGGATGACCATACTGTTCATCCAGGTCAAAGTGAGTGCATAGACATGATGGCGTCAGTGCTGGAATGCAGACGCGGTCCAATGAGTGCACCTGTGCATACCTCACGTACGTGAGTGTGTGCGTGTGTGTATGTGTGGGTGTATGCAACCCCCCCCCCCCTGCACGGCCGTGCAGCAGAGGGTGTGTGACAGAAACTTGTCTGTGCAACAGGTCACTCTTACAAGAGACCTAGCGCACTATTTCGCTCTCGATTTCATTTTTTGTTTTTCTAAATTTTTATTTGTTGTTTTTAAGGTGCTTGTTAACACCTAATAACCATGGCCTTCCATGTAGGGGCATCACAATTTCGCAAAACACTCCAACATGTCTAACAAATGATTCACGGTCTACAAGAATCAGAATGTTAAAGAGTTTCCCAACCTGCACCTGCTGGGTCTTGTGGACCTTGGAGGCCTCCAGGTAGGACTGTTTGCCCCAGGACAGCTCACTCCCCCTGGGCAGACTGCTGGTCTTCACCTTGGGCTCCTTGGGGGTCGCCCGCAGCTTCGACACATCCGTTCCGGCTCGCTGACGAACTCCGACCCCCCAGGATCCGATGGCGGCCACCTGTCCACAGGAACCCCCCCTCTGCAGGTCGACCTGGAAGTTCTCCCAGGATTCCCGGGAGTCGTAGTCCGGGGAGAAACTGTCCTCCTCGGCAACCAGGTCGAGGGTCAGCATGCCATGGGAGGAGGTGGACGCCTGAGGGGTGAGTGACACAAGATGGCGTGATTTAAAGAATGTTTGAACAAGTTAAAACGGGAGAAAGATAAACGAGAGACCCCAGTACCACGGCCATGAGGTGTCCTCTGGTCGGCAGCCGGCGGCCATGAGGGATCTTTGCCCGGTCTCTGGTGGGATGAACCAGTGCACTGTCCTCCTCGATGGTCACCTGGACAGAGACATAGACACTGATTCTAGTGTAGGAGATGGTGTGAGAACTGAATCTAAGCCTAAGGACACCTGTGACGAAGCTAAATCAAGTAGACTTCTTAATGAGGTATTTAACCCGATATTAGTGTTATCGAGGTTTACGACCAACACGCCGCTTTTACCTCATCTAAAATGCGGTTCTTGGCTTTGATGATTGCCACATTGAGGGCATTAACCCACGATTCCTTTTCCTCCGGACTCACCGCCAGAAACATGAGGTTAGGAACCTGCAAAAAGACAAAGAATTCACTGTTTGGTAAAATCCATCCATTAACCGTAACCGCCAATTTAGAGTCCTCAATTAACCTGAGCATGTCTTTGGACTGTGGAAGGAAGCCAGAGAACATATATATATATATATATATATATATGTATACATTTATATTTATATATACATTAACCATCAGTGTAAATAAAGTGTTACTGACTCAGTAGAACGTGTGTTTCTAGTCTCTGATCATGTTTCATTGTAAACAACCAATTAGAGGAGAGCTAGTAACGTTAGCAGCACCGCTAACGGCTAACCAACGGAGGTTCACTTCAGTTACACTATGATGCCTTCAGGCTCTGCTCGGTGAACATGAGTACTGGCTGAAGGTACATTATAACGTTATCATGATGTGTTCACATGTCATCTGTAAAATGTAGTTCTGGTGATAAACTTGAATAAATCCAGTAGTTTGAAGGAGATGTTTATGAATATAAAATTATGAGCTGTTTAACTTCATAACACGAGCTCTAAGCTCATTATTGTACTTCATCAAAAAAACACTATAAATTACTACAACAAAGTAAAAGTATAACATTTAGTATTTTTGGTGGTTTACTGACTTCAGAGTTGAAATGATTTGTATCTGTTATCATGATCATCAATAATCAATAATTAGTGTCAGCGGCAGATAAGAACCTGATCAGAGATCTAAACGTTGTTTCTGTGAGTTTTCTGATGTGTTGCTCTTCTAATGTTGCTGCTGTTAATCTTCTGTTTCTAATCTTCTTATTTTCATGGATTTAAAGATTAAATGTTTAGTATTAAATAAATAACTTCTGTATTTACGTTCAATAACAGTGAAGCTCATGTTTCATATATTTTAATTTGAATAAACCAGCTGATCAAGAAGAGTTCAGTAACTGCTGCAGCATCGGGAGGACGAGAAGATGCTGGACGTCTCTTTTTATTTTGAGAATTAGAAATCAGTAAATGACAAACCAGCTGACTTCATCGGTGCTATGATGTCATACGACATGATGTCATCGCTGTGTGGCCGTAATGAAGCGCAGCGGATTAAACACAAGACGGACATGTGAAAGCGTTTGGACTTTGCGGGGGATTATTCCGCCGTAACTCGTCCTCTGACGGACTAATGGGATTCTGAGGATTAAACCTTTTCATAGAAGAAGAAAACACACACAAACACACACACAGCTCGACCAATCGGTGCAGTCGAGGCTGGAGATCCACCAATGAGGTGGCAGCGTGAGAGTCAGGCAGGTCGGAGTAATCGGTGAGGACGAACACGGGGGGGAGGATGAAGAGGAACAAAGAATCACTACTCCGTGATTCGTGTTCCCCTCGGGATGAACCGCCACAACGTTTCCATTGAAACTGATAGAAGGCGAAGCGACTCACGGTGTTTCCCGGCTGTCTGCAGCGCAGCAGAGTGAAGCGACTGTGGTTCTTCTTGCTGCGACTCTTTGCTTTCCTCAGCTCCTCCGAGCGCTCGTAGTCAGCCAGGTCGAACACCTCCTGAGCCCTCCGCTCGTCTTTCACCTGCAAACAAACACGCTCACGTCACCGAGGGGGAATCGAACCTATGGGACAACGAGGTCACCGCCAAGTATAACACCGAAACGTATCAATCAAAATATATATGATGTGTAACGATGAACACGGTGGACGTGACAAACACTGAGGTGGGAGTCCTTGAAGAGGATTTAGTGGACCTTGAGGAGGTTTTGGTGGACCTTGAGGAGGATCTAGTGGTCCTTTAGGAGGTTTAAGTGGAACTTGAGGAGGTTTTGGTGGTCTGTGAGTGTTTAGTGGACATTGAAGAGGTTTCCGTGGACCTTTAGAAGGTTTTAGTGGACCTTTAGAAGGTTTTAGTGGAACTTGAGGAGGTTTTGGTGGTCCTTGAGGAGGACCTAAAGGTCCTTGAGTGAGTTAACTGCCAAGAAACCCTGCAACATTAGTCCTGTTGCTATGGTTACCAGCAGTTTAACCTGAAGCTGTGATTGACAGGTGAGACTGTCGATCAGGGCCCCGTTCCTCGTACGTGGTTCAACTAAGTTGATCAAATGTCCTATTAGCAGCCTAAATTAAGGAGATGATTGACATCAGGCTATCTGGGTTCCTCCAAGGCTGATCCTCTCAAACAGTCTTCTTAGTTTGCTCAGCTGCTTTAATGGATCACCGTGTGTCTC